GGGCCCAGCAGCCTGGGGGGGGGGGGCATCTTGATGGAAGAAGAGGGTCTTGAAAAAAAGTGGGCCCTGGAACCAACTCTCGGCTCCTCTACCCTGAAGACCCAACCTTTAGCACACAGGATACCAGCCCCCTTCCCTCAACCCTGGGCATCCAGCCCCTGCAGCAGGGCTGACAATGGCAACAAACATGTTTTAAAGTCTGTCATCGCATTTATTAGTTTCCAGGAGGGATTAGGGAGAGCCCTCCTGCCTCCCTCCGGGAGTCTAGCCTCCAGCTGCAGCAGGATTAGACTGAACCTGGACGTCCTCAGCAGCCAGAGTCTGCAGCTGGATCAATGATCTAGATAAAAGTGACAAAAGAGAAATGTCACGGGAGGAAGGCACCCTGCGAGCAGTCAGGGCAGACCTCACTGAGGCCCGGCAGCCAAGACGCCCCCCATACCCAGGCCTCCCTCCTGGTGCTCCAGCTGACCAAACCACTTTCTGCCCCAGGGCCTTTACACATGTCCTTTCCCTGCCCACAATTCCCCACCAACCCCAGCAGAGACTAAGCACACTAACCAGTGTCCGGGAACAGGCCAGGGAAGGGCACTCCCGGTGGAGGACACCGTCTGGGCAAGGGTGGGGGACCAGGGACGGGACCTAGCCCTCAGGACCCAGGGGACCCTCACCTGCCACCTGGAGGTCCACCGGGTCGCTGAGCTCAGACACTAGGGGCCAGCGGGAGCGGTAGCGGCAGCTGTATTTGCCGGCATGTTGGGGCCCGACGTAGGTCAGCACGAGGTCCTGCGAGGGCTGGTACGTTGAAGCCACCACTTCCCCTTCCCGCAGGAGCTCCAGGGTCTCGTAGGGCACCGGGCTCTCGCAGCGCAGGGCCGCGTCGCGGCCGGGACGCACCGCCCCGCTCCACAGGGGCCGGAGCTTCGGCCTGGGGAGGGGCCCTGGGTGGGGCAGAGGGCCCGGGAGTCAGTCCCTCCCCTCCCGCGGAGCTGCGCCCACCCCTCGCGGCCTCGTCCGACCGGCACTGAAGCCCTGACGCCGGGGCTCGGCCCGTCTCCGCTCTCTGGGCCCCGAGCGGGCAGCTGCGCGCACGCCGCAAACACTGCCCTGTGCCTGCTGCTCAGCCGCGTGTCCCCTCGTCACCCCGTTCTCGGGCCCTGGCCTGAGGCTCTCGGGGTCCCCGCTCGGGGCGCTCAGGCCCGGGTGAGGGGAAGGGAGGCGCGCCCAAGGGAAGTGGTGGTCCCTGCGGAGCCGAGCGCGGGCCCTGTGCGCCGCAGGCCTCCGCCCCTGGCGACCGCGGCGAGGAAATGGGAGGGACGCGGAGACCCCGCGCTGCCCAGAAAAGGGGCCCGGGCGGAGGAGGCTGGCGAGACGACAGGGAAACTGAGGCACGGGCGGGCGCGAAGCCTGCAGGGGAAGCGGGCTCCGTCCGCTCACCGTCCACCTGCAGCTCCAGGCGCGCGCTGGGCGCGGAGCCCGCGAAGGGCGGCGCCGTGTCCGCGTAGACGCAGCTGTAGTTGGCCGAGTCCAGCGGCGTCACGTC